AGTACAAAGATAAAGGCTTGCGTAAAATTAATGAAGATCACACTGTCTGTATAACGAATGTACTTCATGAAATTGTGTTGCATGTGCTGTGTTTTTGTTGTTGTTTCTTTTGTTTTGTTTGTTTTTGTTTTATTCATTCAAACACCAAGCCAAATATGCTTGATGGTGATGCTCGCTCAGTAGAGGTCATTTGATGACATTGCCAGAGATGTACACGGTTCCCAGTAGGCGATTCTGTACTGTTCTCGCTAAGACCCGGCGAAATGTGTACAAGTGGTTCTTCAGAATGGTTGTCTTTGAGTGAGCCTCAATAGTTCCCTGTCTTCACGTTCCGACGCCATCCTGGCAGTGTTTGCCCTTAACCATGAAAAGTTGCGATCCCGAAGGACCCAAAACCATAAAGGGTTATGGGTCCTGATCAGAATGAGTAGGGCCCCTATATTTTAGCTACAATATAAGTAATTCCCAGCAGACAAAATGTGACAGCTAACAAACTGAGTTTAATTTAGGGTCTGGTGATTGACTAGTCTTCATTTACAACAAAAATCAACATCCATGTCAAGATCCAAGTCTGAATCAGAAAGTTCAGACAGGAATATGTCAGAGCAGTAGAGTCATACAGTGCAGTTTGTGCACCACTGACACCGGCACCCACTGTTGCAGATATCAGACTCCTCGGCAGGTTCCACAGCATGGGGCAACACTGGAGTCAGGGCGTCGGGGCATCTTCTTTAGTCTGCTTAGATTTCTTTTCGGGGCTAGCAATCTAGAAAACGACCACATTCTGACAGTAGACTAACAGGAACCACGATGTCAAACCAATCAACGCCACCCTATGTTTTTTACCATTATTTGACCAGCTGCCGATCGAGATAAGATCTAGAAATTATTGAATGATTTCTTCTGAAAAATAATATTCTTAGTTTTGGGGCTGAAAAAGCCGCGGGCCATTAAGGGCGTGCAGGAAACAAAAACTGTGGGTCCAAGTGTTTTTCAGTCGGATTCGGGCGTAAGGACCGACGTTAATTTCGAACGCTGCACCTTGGCGAGAACGTTGACGATCCATCACATCATTGGTTTCTCTGCGTTTTCTGACCTAACGACTAGCAATTATGTAGTGGACTTCCCGACCAGTTGCTTTAAATGACATACCAATATGCATATCAATAATTAGTCATCGCTGGTCATTTGATAATCTCCAGTGGCATAATGATGATTGAACATTGCAAAATTAAATACCGACACGACACGGAACGTGCACAAACTGCACTTATAAAAATCGTGGGTTTGCGTGTGGACATGCTCAACAGGAGTTCCACCAAGAAATACACTTGGTAACCGTGTTTGGTAGCTTGGCTCCTGAGAGTTTCCAGGACTTCAGTCCTGCCCCACAGCGAAGCACACGTGATACATGTGGCCTCAGTTTAGGCAAATGAGTTTGTTCAAAATTGCCCCTGTAAACACAGCAGAAAATGGGTGCCTCATGTAACCACTAACCTTCTAGCACCCCACAGGCTCCCTCTACCGCAGCGAATGGGACTTCTCCCACGAAACGCTGCCTTGTCGAAACCGCCAAGAACTTTCCGGAGAATATGTAGACTCCCCAACATTGCAGCCTTCTGCATTACCAAGAGTGCCATAAGGTATGTGCTTCCAATGGAAAATCCTGGGCAATCTCCTGATCTGCATAAAGAGATCAGGAGGTACCAAAACCAAGGTCACCGGAGAACAACGGTGTTCTTGGGATGCAAGCGAGACATTTCAAAGGCGAGATCCGCATATTTAGCATGCTTTTGGTGAATCTTTCCAATCACGTTGCTGTTAAAAGGAACAGAAAATTCAATAACATAAATAAATTCATTGGCTTTATCAAAAAGGACAAGATCAGGTTTGTTGTCATGAATTCTGAGACTGCATATGGGCCTGTTCCAAAGAGGTTTAAAAGCATCATTTTCCATGACGCCCTGGACATGTTCAAGGTCATACCGTGGATGGACGTCAGAGCCAAAGCCACGGGCATGGCGAAGACGACAGTAGAAGCAACGAGCCATGCCATCATGTCTTTTTAAGATATGCTGTTTGTGCCAAGGAAGGGCATCCACTGACAATGTGTTGGACAGTCTCTGTAAATTTATTGCAAAGTCGACATTTCATATTGATATTTTGTTTAAGAATCACATTTTGGCGATTTCGAGTGGGAAGTGACTGGTCCTGAGAGGCAAAAAGGAAGCTCTCAGTTTCATATTTTAGACCAGTCGACTTCATTAGGCGAAGGCGAAGGATTACTGTTCTGTTCCACACACTGCATGTACACACGATGCAATGGTCTCAGAAAGTTGACAAATGACCGACTCTGGGCAGACTTGGTGAAGGACATCACCTGGTTTACTCCCATCGCTGCACCGTCCAGCAGTAAACCACCATAACAAATTAACCTTTCATCATGGGTCTTGACATGCATCACTTGGGGATCATCTGATAAATAAATATGACGTGTAAATGTACACAATAAACTTCTGTGATGAAAAGCCTCCACATTAATCAAACCTCGGCCTCCCGAATTGATTGGCATATATAAACGATTAAGAGAGGACGAGGATGGTGGGATCTGTTATCAGATTATGATCCTTCTGGTCAGGCGGTCAAGACTCTGGATATCTTGTTGAGCCCAATCAACTTCTCCAAAAGAATAGGAAAAGGACTGGTACAGTATTAGTGGTTTTGACCTTGTTTCGAGCACCAAAAACAGGAAGCTCAAAGGATTTAAAGACAAGCAAAAACGCAAAGGACTAAAGGAATCCCCCTTGAATATCCCCCTTCTGATTGGAATAGATTCCGAAATCTCCACCTGCCCTTGCGAGAACGACTCAAGTTGAGTCGACCAGCGACTCATTAAAGACTTGAGTAAATCAAGTAGTCGCTCAGGAAGGTCAATACAACAAAGAGACTTCAGAATCCATTCATATGCTTTTTTGTAATTAATCCAGCACATGAAGAGGTTGCGATGATATGTTTTAGCCTTTTTCCAAAGTCATTTTCTGTACAAGAAGTTGATCCTTGCACCCCCTTTCTGTTATCTATAAATTATATCATTGGAAGAACAGTAGGATGACACGAGGTTTGTCAAACACCCTGTGAAAATTTTATACTGAGTATTCAAACATGTGAATGGGCGGAAATTTTTGGGATCAGTCAAATCTCCTTCCTTGGGAAGGAGTATTGTGCGACCTTTCAGAACCATGGAGGAACATCAACTGTGTCCACAAGAGAATTGAAACAGTGAAGTAATGGAGATTTGACGCTATTATTATTATTATTACACTTGCAATAATTTCTGAAATGAGCATTCTTATGATGCGTATCATCATACACAAGCTGAACTTGAACATCGTTTTGTTAGAGGTCATTATATTTTCACATTGATATACATATCTTAATCAGTCATATTTTTCTATGTCAACACTATATATTTATTACTTGGATGAGAAGCATGGTCTCGTTTCCATATCGCGGATCGTAATCGACATGATCTATATGTCACCTTTCCGCAACTAGATATTTGAGACCGTAGCCAGTGTTCAATCTAATGGTGGCCTGTAAAGGCCAAACAATGCCTTCAAACATAGCACGTTCAAAGCAACATCTTCAATCTAAGCAAACAGTATTACGACTGGGCGATCTTGAACAGTAGACAATATGGAGTGCTTCGGGTTTTTATAGAGCACATAAAGACAGACTCGCAAGGCACAGCTAAAATTCAAAGTGAACTTTGAAAGGCGACAATGGCCGTGAATGAATAGTGAAAGTAATATTTGGTATACACAAACCTGTCGTCAAGACAACAGACAGTCCAACCAGGAAGTCCTGCAATAGGGGAATTATTGGTATTTCCCAGAATTCACGGGAGGTCATATTCTGAAACTCTACCCCTTGATAATAACGGCGATTATGTTAACGTTGGCAGCATAAGTCATAACACCTGCCTGGCTAAGGTTAAGAAAATCTTAAGTTATATATATAGACACAAGTAATGAGTTCAGAAAAGATATCTCGCGGATCACTCGGAGGAACGCATGTTAAAAGGATATTACACTAAATAGAATTATTTGTTTTTTTCTCAGTCCATTCAGATACAAACAGATGAAAACCTACCAAGGACTGAGTTGGATTATTTAGTCTCTTGTCTCATCATCTATACCTTTGATACCTTTGTCACAGACCCGGGTTCGATTCCCACTAGGGCATAATATTTATACCATTTATGTCCAGTGAATGTATGTAAGCCCTAGTTGTAATAGCAGACTGTGCTATCTAGTGAATCATTTAGAATGCCCGGGTTCAATTCCCCTGATTTGGGTGGTGGTGGTGGTGGAATTGGGTTTAACGTCGTGCTTGAGAATATTTCGCTCATATGACGACGTGCATGCGTGTATGTGTAAGTGCGGCTGCTTGTACTAGCCCAGACTGAAGCTTGTTTTATAGTGCTAGCCCACTGTGATACCATGCCGCAGTGAAGTATGAATACCCCAATCAGACACATTATACTGACTCCGAGCCGACCAGTCCTTGATGTACCCATTAATGCCGAGCGCCAGGCAGGGACCAACAAGTACCATATTTTAACGTCTTTTGGTATGACGCAGTCGGGGATCGAACCCGCGACCTTCCGCACTCCGGGCGGACGCTCTAACCACTACACCACGGAGGCGGTTCCCTGATTTGGGGGATAAATGCGATACGTACTGTATGTGTAAAAGATTAACTCGGTCGCACAAACAATCAGTCAATCACTCATTCACATTGCATATTACTTTACTGTCTCGTGCCTATAACACTTTACATAACACGCTGTAACATGAATTCTGGATGTAGACAAACACGTGATTTCACAACATGCACTGTCGTGCACTGTTTCCTTTGACAACCTGTTTGACACTCCTTCGCTTGTTCGATAAGTTAATTTATCTGCTTCGAATCACTGGGCAAAGTTCCAAAACGTCTGTTCATTTCGTCGTCAAATTTCCTCGTAACTCAATGTCTTGAGGAGGAAAGATTGCGAAGCGGCTGTCACTCAACACAGAGTACCCTGTCAGTCAGGCTTCACCAGCCACGCCTATTTTACACTCGGAATACCCATGAGACAAAACCCGCTAGTCAACTTAAAGACGACGCTGTTGCTCGACAGTGGCAACATGGCGGCCAAGTATTGGCTTGGTATTGCCATCTGCTTGTCTGTCGTATCCGAATACAGCTGTCAGGTAAGTTACTTTCCACAACGAAACCCTCTGAATCAGGACATTCCCTATATCTGCACTGATGGGAATGTTGGTTTAACGAGTTTTCACTCTATGTAATGTGATGTTTTGAGCTCTGTTCCACGCATTGTTACACAATACTCAGGTGATAGCGTGTTTGAATGGTTAATGGAATGAATGAGTATGGTTTTACGCCGCATTTAGCAATATTCCATCAATATCACGGCGGGGAGACACCAGAATGGGTTTCACACATTTTACTCACGTGGGAACCGAACCCGGGTCTTCGGCGTGACGAGCTGACGCTTTAACCACTAGACTACCCTACCTAAATGATTAGTAGAAATAAGGTAGTTTACCGACATACACCAACATAGGCTGGCAATTTAATTATGACTGCAGCTACAAACATTGAAATCATAACATGTCATCATGTCATTCCCTCGCCATGGTGTATGATGACATGCCATCAACAGTGTCACCCAGTCAGTTGAGTAGCCTCGTGTAGGCTGTTCGTGGTCAGTTCTTGCGAAACATGTTAAAGGGAGTAGTCCCAATGTGCAGTGATATGCTTCTTATGAACATTTGGTTGTTACGTCACCACCCGTGGTCACTCAAATTGCAACCGTCTGCATCGGATCTGTTTGGGCTTTCCTTTCACACAAGTCCGTCGTCTTCTGTTAAAACTGTAACATTGTTCGCAGCGGTATCAAATTATACCCATTCTGTTCCAGCGTACCTGCAGTCTGACTGCTGGCCGTCTACCAATTTCTGTCGGATACTGTACTGATGAAGACGGCAACCGGATAGCTGCAAATCTTCAATCCAGACTCCCCAGCCGCAGTACATGCAGAGTTACCTGCCTTGAGGATGCAGAGTTACGGTTCCTGATCTGTGACGACGGGACATGGCATATGACACCCAATCTTTGCAATGGTGAGCATAATTTTGCAAGTATCTAAACCACCAGTTAGACAGCACATTATGAGTGAGTGAGTGAGTAAGTGTGGGTGAGTGAGACTTACATCAGTTACTTCACGTCGTGTCAGTGTGATGTGGGAAGTTCAGATCTCGCACAGGTGAAAGTCCTAAACTGTACCAGTTTAATGAAACCATCATGCAAGGATACGGTGCTTCCAGACCTGTAACAGAAACAGGACCAAGAGGGATTCGAACCTGCATTCACAGGTTTCAGGCATGAATTTGGGACGCGGCTCCGCAAAGTGATGGTTGCTCCCCTGTGCCCTTGAGCATACCGATCAATGTGTTCCAGGCCAATAGGTCCCCCATGCCCTCTAGCATACCGATCAGCGTGTTCCAGGCGAATAGGTCCCCCATGCCCTCTAGCATACCGATCAGCGTGTTCCAGGCGCATAGGTCCCCATGCCCTCTAGCATACCGATCAATGTGTTCCTGGCTATTGGGTCCCCATGCCCATGCTCTCTAGCAGACCGATCAATGTGTTCCTGGCTATTGGGTCCCCAAGCCCTCCAGCATACCGATCAATGTGTTCCAGGCTATTGGGTCCCCATGCCCTCTAGCATACCGATCAATGTGTTCCAGGCTATTCCAATAGGTCCCCCATGCCCTCTAGCATACCGATCAATGTGTTCCTGGCTATTGGGTCCCCCATGCCCTCTAGCATACCGATCAATGTGTTCCTGGCTATTGGGTCCCCCATGCCCTCTAGCATACCGATCAATGTGTTCCAGGCTAATGGGTCCCCCATGCCCTCTAGCATACCGATCAATGTGTTCCAGGCGAATAGGTCCCCCATGCCCTCTAGCATACCGAGCAATACCGATCAATGTGTTCCAGGCGAATAGGTCCCCATGCCCTCTAGCATACCGAGCAATGTGTTCCAGGCGAATAGGTCCCCACACCCGTTCAGCATACCGATCAATGTGTTCCAGGCGAATAGGTTCCCCTTGCTCTCCAGCATACCGATCAATGTGTTCCAGGCGAATAGGGTCCCATGCCTTTCCAGCATACCGAGCAATGTGTTCCAGGCAATAGGCCCTCCATGCTCTCTAGCATACCGTGTTGTGTGTTCCAGGCGAATAGGTTCCCCTTGCTCTCCAGCATACCGATCAATGTGTTCCAGGCGAATAGGTCCCACATGCCCTCTAGCATACCGATTAATGTGTTCCAGGCGAATAGGTCCCCCATGCTCTCTAGCATACCGAGTAATGTGTTCTAGGCGAATAGGTCCCCATGCCCTTCAGCATACCGAGCTATGTGTTCTAGGCGAAAAGGTCACCTCTGCCCTCAAACTACGTGTTCTCATATTTTTGAACACACCGATAAATGCACAGTACAGACTGATTTATGTAATTGATGAGGTTTTGTTTTCGGGATATCATATTCATTTATAAATGCTTGCTGGATCCACCTAATTAGCATACTGCTTTTATTATTGCCAACATTATATTTTAACTCATTCGACCACTTCCTTAATCATATGTTCATGGTCTAGCATAAAGATTGCATATATTCTTCTAGGTATGGAGGATGTCCAGCTGGTACCAAGACGACGTCAAAAACGTTGGCTCTGGATACCAATATTAATAATAGGGTGGTGGGGATCAAGACCAGGCCCTCCTCCAGGTAATGTAACTCTTTATTACCTACGAGGACGAAAATATCGGGGTTCATATTTTCATACGATGCTCTAGGGCAAAATATCACTTTGTCATGGTGACGTGACGTCATGAACAATGCTATGACGTCACATTTCTTCTATGACGTTGCGTTCTACATGCGGCGACGGCGGGTAGCCAGCCTATGTTTTAAAGTAGGTTTAGGTTTATTTTCCTCAATTTGACGACTTCGGTAATAAATAGAATATTATATTCGTGCACATATCACACTATGTTTACGACACTTGTGCCTAAATATCGGTATATTCCTCGCTCTCGCTCGGGATATACCATCATTTAGGCACTCGTGTCGTAAACATAGTATGACATGGGTACTCATATAATATCCTCTATTTATTCAGTTCACTCTGGGTAAACACATATATAGTTATCATGACGTTCATCGTTAGGTAAGTAGGGACACTGCCCTGCCGTGGCACCATTCTACCGGACCACGGGGTAGGTATTATGAGCACTTGGTGTAGCTTGAAGTTTTCGTTTTACCGACAACGTCCTGAAATGAACCTATTGCGCAGAAGCGTACGGCAACGAGCACTTGCAACTCGGGAGATAGAGTGGATCTGTGGGAAACACCATGGCTGATGTCATGTTCTGACTGGATGGACAATCCTGAATATGTCGATGTCCGAAAGCTGAATCGACTATGGAGCTCTAGATACTCAAACAATTCCAACGGGTTTGTTCTGTCTCTTAATATCTGGTTTCTGTTCAAGTACCGTCTGCGGTGTTGATACACTACAGCCGCCATTGCTCAGCTGCGCCTGCCTAACGCCATCTGGGTAGGTGGCGTACATCCGGGACGTAAAATAAGGCGCAGCTTTTCTTACGTCATGGATATGCATTAGGGCGTAGATTTGTGCTTGGGTGCAGTTCACCCTTACGCCAGGACTAGGACTTACGCCTGAGATATGCATGCGGTCCCATCAGAAACATCCTTTGTGACAGTTGTGGCTATCATATTAATGAAACTTTCACACAGTTTGTTCGGCCTTCGGAGCTCAGTGGTGGAGCCGTCACAGAGTTTTCAAGTCGTTGTACCAGAGGCCAGACCAACCAGGTCATAGCTCTTAGATGTGATTTCTCCCGGAAGAAGAAGCCATACCTCTTGGCTTGTCAGCAAAATGTTTGTGTCCATTGGCTTCACCAAAGTGTGAGCTATCAAAACGTTATACGTCAGCTACGCCAAACACAACCCCAGATACATCCGATATATTGTTCAAAGATGTTTAAGCCAGCTCACCAACTGCCTTCACCGAACTACCACTAGTACCTGCACGTCACGATTCTGAGAGGGCTGACTGACCTAAACATGTTAACGTTACCGCAACGACACAATGGACTAACCGTCACGTGAATGTATTGTTACATAACACCGCCTGACGGTAGCATTGACCTTTAAGAAAACTCACGGGCGAAAGAAACGTCACCAAAATGATATTTTTTTTTCTTTTATCGTACTCTAAGTGATTATTCACATCTGTAGTTCACACTTTCATCATTCAGAATGTCGTGAATCCATTAATTTTCCAAATAGGATTGTTAATTTTCCAAAATCTGAGTTTGTTGTTTTGTGACATGTTAAAATAGCGAGGTGACGTTTGTTTCGCGCGTGAGTTTACATTGCTCAACGTGAAATTGTATTTTTGTCCTTATTCATTTTTGCCATTAGAACAATGCCTCTTTAATTGCGCCGTGATTTTGTACAAACTACAATTCATATGGTATCTGTCCGTATCGTGTTAATAGTGAAATCATACAACGTCATTGTACAATAAGCGTTACATTTGTGTACATTTAGTGTCAAATACTAAAGTATCTTCCCGTGTTACTGAGAAGGTTTTGCCAACATTAGATGTCAGAATTGTGACATCTTGGAGGTTAACTATAGATTAAGGCGTCATTTATAGAAGATCTCCTCATTTAGGGCTACTACCGAGGCACTCTTGCTTCCTTATAGCGCGACACGGGTTAAAAATGGTCTTCAGTAACACAGGCTTATCGTAAGAGGTCTAGAATGGTTCCAGTCTCCTTCCCAGAGTTCCTTGCGGCAAGCGAGCATAGTACCTCTGCCACAGGCCAGAAAGATGTGACGATTCGTCACATCTTACACCGTCCATTCAATATAATCTACATATTTCTTAACTCTTGTATTTTTGACGAGTCTACACATCTAATGAAACATCTTTGATAGAATGGTTTGGTTTCACTGAGAAAATATCCTAAAACGTGTAACACTATTTCGATTTGCGTAGCGATCCTTTGTTTACATAGGTTGTACGGCTCCACGTGCTGTCATCGAAGCTGATGGAGAGCTAACGATGCAGCCAGTTTAATATCTAAATATGTTCTGTCATAGACCTTACTGTCGCAGTTGTGGAAGAATATATATGTAACAATGTACATGTAGATCACTGTGAAGAGCGCGCCGAAAAACTTGCGTAAGGCCAGTCTCTTCTTAAATGAATATGCGCGTTTGTTCACAAACAAGAGAAAAAGTCCGGTCACGTGATATGCAAATTAGCCTGTGGCAGTGATGTTATGCTAAGTCATCACTGCGCCGGAGTGTGGAATTGATCTTGTCGTAAGAGGCGTCGAACGGGATCGTGTGGTCTTGGCGTGTCCCAACTGCGTATATCGATGCTCATGCTGTTGATCACTGGATTGCCTAGTCCAGGCTCAATATTTACGGACCGCCGCCAAATAGCTGGACTACTGCTGAGTGCGGCGTTAAACTACGAAACAATCAACCAGTCCTTATCACGCCATTATGCCACCAACATTGCGCCATTTTCCAAATACATCTCGCCATTTTGAAATGCTTGTGAGTTACTCCATATTATGACACCAATATCGCTAGGCGTTCGCAATGATATTTTCAGGATACAAGAGGACACGTTTATGAAACGAAGGTGACGTAATAGAGTAGCTCTTCCTCATGTTCGGATACAGTGTACACTGAATTAATAAAATTTGTCTAACTCAGACAGTTCACTGAATTAAAAAACACAAGCTCTCGGTTTGTCGGAACCTGTAATAGAGGCACCTGCTACAATTAGCAGTCCGAAAACTTTAACTCACTTCCTATGATGGATAAGTGGCCGAAAATGACGTATATCACAGTAGTTAATCTATGGCGATCGCCACTGGCGCAGAACAGTGCACACATTATCCGTGATAACGCCAGTTGCCGTAGATATCCGAATATCGCCGCACATTCCCGTGGATTACTAACAGATTGCCTGAAACTTTATGTTTTTTTTATAAATCGACGGAGATTGCCCCTGATCGACGCTGGTTGTCGTAGATTACCCTTAAAATGCCGTAAACTGCGGTAAATGTCTATAAAACGATGGAGATAATAGCAAATCATCAGGCAATTGGTTCACGTTGTTCGGCAAACCAGGTCGTGGAGAATTATACCCCATAATAAGTGTTTTCCTGTAAGAAATAAATCAGTTTGTATTATTATATGTGGACTGAATCATACATGAGAAACTTGAGTCAACTGTTGTCGCCCGATGTAATGTTCTCCACTTGTTTACAGACCGATCTCCTCCAGTGGTCACCTGTCCAATGGATATCCATAAGTTCTCAGACCCAATCCAAACAAGCACTAAGGTGTACTGGAACGACGACGATGCGTCAGCCTACGACAACAAAGATAGACATGTTGCGTAAGATAACTCTGCTCAGCGTTGTTGGTACTCTCACACTAATTTCATGACTTGCTTTATTTAGTAAATTCAAGACTCACTGTTTTAAGATAGATACAGTGTGACGTATGTGTCTAGAAATGTATCGAGATAAAGAACCCTTAGGTTGTTTTTGTCAACTGGGTTACATGCTATTTTCCATTCTGATCGAATGTGGATATCCCACCTGTCCAGTTCAGTCAGGCCACCACTCCCACCCCTACCCCCGACACCAGGGTCCTCCGTCTCAGGCCACATAGAAGGGTGCTGAACTTTACATCTCATCTAACAAAATTTGCCTTGCCCACATGAGTCAGTGAGTTTAGTTTTGAGCCGCTTTTAGCAATATTCCAGCAATACCAAGGCGGAGTACTCATATCGGAAATCGACGTCTCGAGCTCTAGGCTACCAACCGTCCTGTTTCCACTTGAGCTCTGAAGTTAACCCTATTGAACCAAAATCATACGTTTATCTCTACTACAGGGTAAGACGGGCGAGCAGGAAGCGGTCCGGGTACTTGTTTAGTGAAGGAAGTACACCCATCAGCTACACAGCCAGAGACAGTGCGGGGAACATGGGCACATGTGTGATGACAGTCACTGTGACAAGTACGTCCTACACAAGCTGGCCAGAAACATTCATCTTCAGTGATAAATATTAAAGTTAGATTAGTAGACAAAGATCAACATTGTGCTATAATTTGCGATTTCCGACTTTCGGAATAAAGAATTAACTCTGTCCAGACATATCTGTGAGTACGTATACTTGTACGTCTGTAAGTCCGTATGTTATGGATGGTTGGAGAATATCAAAGATTGATCCTTGTGCGTCAGGAGACCCCCCACGTCTTAGAACTGTGACCTGATTGGTCTGACTTCTTGTTCACATGTAAACCTTACAATACTTCGTGTGATATGACCAATTTTTTTGTGTGCCTTTTTATAAACAATATTCTGCAGCCATCAGATGTTCACCTGGGCCAAGCAAGACCTTCAGGAACGGTTACTATGTCTGCCATCCAAGCGCCGACTTCGTCTACGGTACCAGCTGCAACTACGGCTGTTACTATGGTTACACGATAAAGGGTTCAAAGCGCAGAGAATGCTGGCAAAGTGGCAAATGGTCAACGACGTTAGAGCCGACCTGTGAAAGTAAGGGTTACACCAATCATACCTCATGTGATCAAAGAACATTTTATTCAAGATTTCTTAATCGTATTTTTTCTACGAACGTAAAAATACTTCAGCACTGAATATGCCCATGTCTTCCCAAAGATGGACGTTCGTGGTAAAGGAAACTGAAAATACATTCCCAGTTTCATTGTGACACAGATTGTATTGTCATGCAGCTTCATGTTTTAATTGAATGGTTTATACTGTCATATGCTATCTAGTTTGGTTTACTAACTTTACAATGTACAGACATAAGTTACTTTCACAACCCGATTCACTCTCGCTATCACTCTCTACACCCAGTTGCTGCTGTTGCTCGCTGACTTAAAGCCCGAATCGGAAACATTAAACCATCTATAGCTTCTTTCTTTTAAAAAGACATTGCTGATCATGGCGATTTCTCGACACTGAGATGACAAACGGCGACCTTGTCTCGGCTGTTCGAACATGTTGACAATCAACTGACAAAGCTGCACCCATTCACAATAATAGACCTAACCAGATAAGGTCACGCAATGCATTAGTATTCACTTGATCAGGTCAACCTGAACAAGCTGTAGTTAATATTAGTATCCTAGTTTCAATATGTAAACAATTCACACATTATCACAAATTCCACTTACAGTACAAATTTGATAATAAGATATCAAAAAATGAATGACTGTGTTTATTTTTGATCTCAAATTTGGTTGGATTGGATATGAGTACACATATTAAAATATCAGTTATTATTTTATAACTGAGTTATTGTATACAAAACAATGACAAATAAATACTAAAACTGCTCTTTATTAAAACCAGAATTCATGAGCAGCGCAAGGACTAATATTTCATTTCTCTTCAGTCAGTCAACCCGAAGTGTGAACCAAATATTTTGCTACCCTTGTGCACGCATATCGTCCATATTTCAGCTGTCACGTGTCCACCACAATCCATTGCACCTGACGCCACGTTTATGTGCACCGATGGCACTAACTTCAAGAGCGCATGTTCCTACACGTGCAAAACCGGATATGACGTAAAACCTGGAAAGTCACGTGTCAGAGTCTGCGCATACGATGGTCAATGGCGAGGTGCCGTTCCGGAATGTGTAGGTGAGTGGGTACGATGACATTCAGTCCGGCAGTTCACCGTTGCTTCTTCCATCGGCTGTGATGTCCTATTGTAACCACGAGTCACCACAAGGGTATTTGTGCGTATGCTTCAGATTCAGAACCTCCAAAGTTCACCAGCTGCCCTAGCGTTGAGACTTATTACACAGAAAGGAGCTCATCCCTGGCTTTAGTTGACTGGGATGTTCCCACCGCCACAGATAACAGTCAGGAGTCCATCACGCCTATACAGACCTCTGGTATATCTAACACAGACTATCATCCGGTGGGTGTTTATGAAATCATTTACACAGCAAAGGACAGCGCCGGAAACGAGGCCAGGGAATGCAAGTTCAAGGTTGTGGTCAAAGGTAGAGCCAGAACGAGGGCCATGATCAGTTTAGAAGTCTATCTAGAACTTGGAAACTTATGTGATTGGGATATGGCGTGCATGTATTTATGCCATGAGCTTTTGTCATGGATAAGAGCTTAAGTTCAACAATAAAACCAGTTTTGATATTTCTTCGATCAATTTACTGAAAGAGAGTTTCTGTCCTTGCTGACGAGATTGTAACTCTGAAAACAGACCTTGCGACCATAAACGTTTGTAAGCAAATCGTTGTTTGTGAGTACTTTTTGTAGTTATTTCATTACACACGTACAAAATTCAAAAGAATGTCCGTCTTTTCAGAACTGAAATGTTTCGCCCAATACCCGCTCCCCTACATGAGGGTGGACTGTCCCGACGGCTACCGGCACGGGTCTACCTGCAACTTCAGCTGCACCGGTAACTACATCTTAGAAGGTGCAAAGGAGACCACGTGTGAATTAGCCAACTCTGACAATGGAGTATCCTACCCGTACTGGGACATGTCCTCACAACCCTCATGCAGTGGTAAGTAAACGTCTGTATATTAGAGATGAGAGATGTATCATCCCCAAACTGGCATGCGTTATATTGTTATTAACATTGCTGGACTTTCTATACAAGTATGTACTTGTGTTTTGGTTTTCCATTATGACAAAAATTAGGTCACATGTTCCTTAAAGTCGTCCAGCCTTTGGTTGTCGTTTGATGGCTACCTTCAGCATCAGGTTTATGGATGATGTCATCATCATTTGATTTAGACATTACATTTTGAATTTAGGAATGAAGGATCGTAAATTTGAAATGCATAAATTTCAGTCAATATTTTGGATACGAAGATTCATATGCTTTCTTTAGAAGGATATATTATGCCTATACATTTTGCAGAAATGTTTGATATTATACAAACGCTCTGGCAATATTGTATGATTGCTACTGGTTTACCAGCATCAAATAAAACGTGGAAATGTACTGTAATCTGGATCATGGCCTTATATATCGAAATAAAACTGTCTGTTTGAATTTCTGAAACGGGCATTTTATTTTTTTCCACGGGAATCGTTAAAATTCTAAATTTGAATGATGTCTTTAACTACAGGGCTACCTCACCGCCCCTCCACGTCGTTGACTACCCTGTACACAACTATATCGTAATAAGCAGATGTTGTTTGGTACAGGGTATTCATTGTCGTGAGACCCGTGAAGATCCGGGTTAGTAACCCATGCTTGTCGTAAGAGGCGACTAACGGGATCGGGTGGTCAGGCTCGCTGACTTGGTTGACACGTGTCATTGGTTCCCAATTGCGCAGATCGATGCTCATGCTGTTGATCACTTGATTGTCTGGTCCAGACTCGATTATTTGCAGGCCGCCACCATATAGCAGGAATATTGCTGAGTGCGGCCTAAAACTAAACTCACTGACTCACTCACTCACCCATTGTCGTGAACATTATTGATATTAATGAACTGTTCCTGATAATGAGTTTGTTGCAATTAATCATTCTCACTTTGTGACAAACGAGTTGTTTGAATAATAAATTGATTGCAGTGTTTGACACGTGTCGAGACTTAACGCCACCTCACAACGGAGCTTTGGCATGTGACATATGGGAAGATGGCCATTTCTGTCAGATGCAGTGCTCGCGTGGAACCGACCTGACAAGGTCAACAGCATTCTACGGGAACCTAATGGTATGTGCGGAATCTGGGGACTGGAAGATCAGTCATCGTACTATTGATGACCCACTACCAGCTTGTACAAGTAAGTTTGCCATCCATATTTCATTTATGTAATACATATGTCTCCATTGCAGCATACACATATCTTCATAATATTTTGATACAAACATTTTTATTTGCAAATTGATATTTTAATTATTTCAGAAAAAAATAACATTTTAGAACATAAAATAGCTAATAGACCTATTCAAACAGACAAACGGGTATTATTGGAGTTGTCCGTGATTCTATACAATGTAAGCTGTGACTAAATTAGGAATGGCACGTGAAATGGCAAGACTAAATTGTTGATGTCTTCGTGAACATCTGCCCACAGTATCTAGAAGACCAACGGACACAATAATGCCAGTACATTTCTATTACGATGGTCAATGCACGAAGGAAGATGCCCAGGAGCAAATAAAAACAAACTTCCAGGAGGTTTTCAATCAGAGTCCTTTCCGAGAAATTATCGGACAGACAGGGAGGACGACTGCCAATGTCAAGGTAAGCAACGTCACAATTTAGTACAGTAATCTCATATATATGAATATATACATTAAGAAATCCCCAAACGTCACCCTTTTATACATGTATTACCGTCAGTCAATTATAACATTGTGTCACTTTAACTCATTGAGCTCATTAAGGTGGCTAACGCCTTCTACAAGCTGTCATGCCGTGATATGACTGAAATATGGATAAAAGGGGGTCACGCCAGTTCGTCTCCGAATTCCCGACCCACACTTAGGCTCCGGGTAAGACAGCACTCCGGGTTTGTTTTAACGAATGTTACATTGCAACCAGTGGTTGTGGTATTAGGCGACTTCGTGGATCAGGTGGTCAGGTTCGGAGACTTGGTCGATGGCGTGTCATCGTCTCAGATATCCTGATGTCTCATTTGTTTCTTGTTTTTGTTTGATATCTTATTTTCTTATATTACGTTCACGGTTGACCTTTTGACCTCAATGAAAGGTGACCTGCGGCTCCTCTGATCATGGGAAGCGAAAGCGAGAAACTCGTGTGACAGTGCAAGTTGACATCCTCCTGGCCCTCGATGGCGACGCGTCCAGAGAGACCTTTAAGGAGGCAGAGACAACTCTTCTGAATCTGTACAGTCACATTACTGATGACATAAAGGGCGACAACTCTAAACTGTTTCCTCAGCTCAGTCAGGAAGTCCGAGCTGAGATGGCTATAGGAAGGCCAACGGTTGACCTGGAGTGCCCTCCTCATACCTTCCCATCGTATAATACATATAGCTGCGGTAGGTATATGATAATACATTACATATCTTTAACATGAAGGTAGCAAAATTGGAATGATCGGGTCTTTAGGAATAACCCATCAACAAGGGGAAATGTTTATAAATTGTTTATTTTATTGATACAAAAACATTTACCTATGTTTTTTTACTCGTAACCCTGGCGAGACATTGAACATCGTGATCGTGAATCATGCTAATGATATAGTTGGCATTTACAGTAAACATATACTGAACAAAATAAGTTAGGGATATTGGTATTTTTATGATTGATATTTTATCAGTGTGTCAATGAATAAATAGATCATTATTCATAATTTCAAACTTTACATATATCCCTAACTATTTTTGTCCAGTATATTACAGAGGATTACGTATGGCTTTTTCTTTCCTAGACACGTTGTGCGAGTGTACTGCACTGCTGAAACCCCACGGCCTTTCCGGTGACTGTATATGCCCAAAACTGCGAACTTGGCAATAAAACATTCTAAGAAGGACGCTGATCCCAATGCATCATCTCATATATACCATATGATTGAGGTCTTGGTATACTCAATGGTGTCTTCCTATTTATATGTACCTATTCTTTAGTACGTGTCAGTTACAGAGCTTGATGTCTGACACCGATGAATGCGACATTAACGCATCTGTATATCATATGATATGTTTCTCTCGTCTTATTGCAGTTGGCTGCGGTGAGGGTCTATACTACTCCGAGGAAGACAACGGCTGTGAGGAATGTCCTACTGGAACTTACCAACCCGAAGCTGAAGGTTCTGGGTGTGTCCAGTGTCCAGACGGAATGACAACCTTACAAAATAAGACTACAACCGTTGATGGTTGTCTTCGTAAGCCTCTCTAGACTTCCGAATATAATTTAAAGCAGTTAAAGAGTATATAAGTATTGTTGCATGATACTTTGAACAAAATTCCCGTCATATGGGAGGCACCAAGATTGGCTCACACATGGCATCAAGGACGAAAAACCCAAAGAGATGTGGGTCTTATACTTGACAACTTTGGTCAAATCTTGGAACATGGGTATAGCGATGACCAACCTAGTAGATACATTGGGCCGAACAGGGGTTCTGAGCCATGATTATACATAGGTTTCTGACCTGTCCAAGGAAATGTATATGTCTGCACAGCTAACTGTCATGGCTGGGACGACTGAATCCTTTATCCAATGTTCTGGCACTCACACATGAGACAACTCTTCTCTCGTTTTACGTTCTACAAAACGTTTTACCTGACATACAATGACGCTTAACATACAATGAACATTATACTAGTATCAATAAAAAGTAGAACGATGTTAATTATTGCTTTGGTGTTTCAGCAATGTGTGGACTTGGTCATTTCTCAGCAAATGGTGTTGAGCCTTGCTCACCGTGTGGTCAAGGACAGTACGCTGACCGCCTTGGTTCTACAGAATGTACAGCCTGCTCGGGTAGCATGACCACGGTGTCCCAAGGCTCAGAAAGTGTCACCTCCTGTCGACGTAGGTTGTGCACATCGCTATATGTTAAAGGTCGAGGCACACAATTTGGTTTCAGTGTAACTAGCAAAGATGTATATGTTTACGTTTATGCTGACAGGCAAGAGGACTGGGCAGGATGAGCGTTTAGAGCAACGGTATATGGTGTTGAGTCCGTTGACAAACATTGACACATGATGACCGCAAACTGTATTTCGAACCCACAATCACAAGTTCTGGCTGTAACTTTGCACAGCGAATAAAATGACGAATTTATTCATGACCGGGCTAGCCGTCTTTCTCTCTCTCTCTCTCTTACCCCCCCCCCCCCCCCCCCCTCTCAAATCTGTGAAGTCTTGAGAATCTTGCCTTGCAAGCAGAAGTTTGGAATATTTAAATCAAATAAAGAGGGGTCAGAAGCAATCAGGCATATATTTCATAAAAGCTGTGTCCATTAGGTGAAGCCGAATATCTTATCGCTTCACATAACCATTTGCCTAAATTGCAGTCGGACCCCTTTCACAGAAAATATATAAGGTGTTTTAAAGCCGTGTGTAAAATTCCTTTTGGTAACTTGATATCCTTATGTTAACAGCGTTTGACGTGGCTATGTCTCCTTCTCAAGCCGCCAATGCTCAGCTCAGAGTCGACACAGAAGATTTTGAAATTCAAAACGGATTTGAACTTCGCTTTTGGCTGACGTATCAATCAGCAGGGGACGTCATCTCTCTGACACATGGAGATAAGGGTATCTTGTCTGTCTCCATCAGCACTACATACGGAATGCAACTAGAGGTTAACGGGTAAGTTTCTCAATAAGTGGTTACGACAAAACAAAATTGGCAGGAAAGAATGTTGTATTTGAGGATTGGGGGACACAAAAAGTGGAGCTCTTATGTTGGGAAATCTGGGAAACTGAACCGAGGATTTAGGCGTGCTAACATTTAACCTACGGGCTACCCCGACGTCTCGAAAAGTAAATGAACTTCGTCCTGTTTTCAAATGCAAATGTTTAATTGTGTTGAGCGATTGAATTCTTCCAGAGACCCCACCTAACCTGATCACTCTCGGGACTTGTGTCTCTGTATACTTGTACATGTAATTAAACGGTCATAATTACATTCTCTTGATTGGTTAATTCGGAAACTTATTATCAGGGCGATTTTACATTATATCAAATTATATGGACTGACTGACTGAGTTTGGCTTTACGCCGCTTTTAGCAATATTCCAGCAACATCACGGCGGGGGCCACCAGAAATGGGCTTCACACATTGTACCCATGTGGGGATTCGAACCCGGGTCTTCGGCGTGACGAGCCAACGCTTTAACCATTAGGCTACCCCACCGCCCAAAAATTATATGGAAGACATATTTAATTTTGTGTTTTAAATATATATTATTTTAAATCTACACACCGTAAAGTGACATGATAAAAAAAGAAGAATAATTTTGGGCATCTATCCCAATTTACTTTAAAAATAGCGAAAGTTACTGTTTCCAAAACAGCGCAGGTGACACGTAATCTATATGTGCAAGTTATGTGAATCACGCAGAAGGATCGCCGTTATTTTCGGGGTATCGTTGCCTAATATGGATGAAGTATGAACCTTATTTGTTGAACAGGACAGTGCTGGATGTGCCAGGCCTTGTCGCCAACCAGTGGTATCAGACAGATGTTAGCTACATCAACCATCAACTCTCCGTCAGTGTGGATGGGGTTCACAGTCGCTCACATTCTGTATCTTTTGACGCTAACGATGCTCAAAACATTTTAGTTTCCATGGGTGGTAAGTCTTTTTTTCGTCATTTGTTCCTAATGTTTTACATTAAAAGATAAAAGATATTCATACATAAAGAAAGAAAATAACCAACATCTGAAATGTCTGGAATCAGTCGGCCATGATGTTGACGCATACTTTCTGTGAGACGCTTAACTCAGGATACAAACAGAGATAGATAGATTACCATATATATGTTAGTTAATCACTAGCATAGTTGTGTCAGTTGATTGTACCACAGATATGTAAGCTGATCACTATCATAGTTATGTCAGTTGATTGTACCACATATATGTAAGCTGATATCTATCATAGATATGTAAGTTGATCACTATCATAGATATGTAAGTTGATCACTATCACAGATATACGTTGATCACTTTCATAGATATGTGAGTTGATCACTATCATAGATATCTAAATTGAACACTATCATAGATATGTAAGTTGATCATTATCATAGATATGTAAGTTGATAACTATCACAGATATACGTTGATCACTTTCATAGATATGTAAGTTGATCACTTTCATAGATATGTAAGTTGATCACTATCATAGATATCTAAATTGATCACAATCATAGATATTTAAGTTGATCACTATCATAGATATGTAAGTTGATCACTATCATAGATATGTAAGTTGATTACTTTCATAGATATGTGAGTTGATCACTATCATATATATCTAAATTGATCACTATCATAGATATGTGAGTTGATTACTGTCACAGATATACGTTGATCACTTTCATAGATATGTGAGTTGATCACTATCATAGATATACCTTGATCACTATCATAGATATGTGAGTTGATTACTGTCATAGATATGCCAGTTGATCACTATCACACTTAATGGTGACTCCTGAGATCGTGGTCTTGTCAACAGGTGCTGGTTTTGAAGGGGGTGTCTCCCAGCTGAACATGTGGCGGTCCCCCCAGAGTGTCGTTTCACCACCGTCACACACGTGCTTCCTGGGAGACGTCGGAGACGTCATCAACTGGGACGTCTTCACATCCGCAAACCAGTCTGAATCGTTTATACAGATCCCCAGTGAATGTGACGGTATGGGTTTCAGATTAATGCTTTGCAGAGAAAATGAACATACCTCTGAAATGAGTTATCTTCGTTTTAGAACTGTGAGATAATCAGAGTTGTCGAACACTGGCATCAGGAGTCAATGTTGTAACCACTATGGTAACAATCCTTACTACAGGTTAACACAGGTAGGCTTGGCACGGGGCGACGGTGAGCTCATGAGCTGCAATTCGTTGTGTAGAGTTGTGTCCTGGTTTCTCATGTAATGGATTCCAATCAGAGGTTCACTCCATTGTGACCCTTGTCTGCACGCTGCACTTCCAACCACATTAACGTCAAAAAAGCATTTCATATACTTTTTCAAAAGCGTCTTTAAACGTAAATGGCATTTGGTGTTTTCCAACAGCAGTGTTAAACTCGCTCACCATCTCACTGGCAGCGTATGATCCCGCATGAGAACATAAAAACGACGAGACCTACCACATTCAGGTAGGAGGCTACTAAAGACGATGTGCAGCAAAGGGAGTTGTCTATCGGTTATAGGATTGTATTTTTTCAATGGAAATAGTGTAATATTGATTGGAATGGCTATTTTTCGCTTACGTAGCTATTTTGGCGAATGTGTCCATGATATTTCTTATAAAACAATGGAGATATAGAACACTCAATAATATGGAGTCAGAACAGATTGACCTTAAAGTGAACTAACGGTTCTGTATTTCAGACACAGATGAATGCCTATCCTCACCTTGTATCCATGGAGATTGTAACGATGAGCTGAATAGCTACACGTGTACCTGTCATACTGGTTACCAAGGCGACAACTGTGACGTCAATATAGATGACTGTGTGGAGAACGAGTGCACTAATGGGGGCACGTGTGTCGACGGTGTGGTGGAATACACGTGCAGGTGTACACCTGAGTACACAGGGCAGTACTGCGATGCTAATTTAGGTAATTCTGTGGGGCGTTACATGAAGGTGGGAATTAGCATTCCACCTTCGCAACTAATGTTTGCGGTAAGACTGAATGTCACCGCATTCCTAATACATGTACTTGGAATGGTGACTCCAATGACAGGTTGACTTGGTCCAAACTATATAGATAACATATTGTCTCTTTACTGAATATTGCTGAGTGCAATGCCAACCTGCAAACGAACTAGCAAATATACTGGAAAGACAACTTTAGAGATGAGTTATTTTCTCAAGCGTGCCCCACTCATTTTATTCCGGGACATGCCGATATTCCTTGAGGTTATGGAAAGGGACGAGTGGGGACGAATGGCTATTTTCTATATTACAATTTATCCAAAGAGTTATCTCCCTTGCTCAATCAAACCAACACAAATGCACAACCTGAGCTTCTTCTGATAATAATCATGTTAGCATTGTTATCATAACTTGTTGCATACCTTTGTGTTGAAACATATACCCAAAACAATACTTTGTAGTTCACGGACAATGGACCGGATGGGGTAACTGGACAGAGTGTACCACGTCATGTGGACCAGGGGAGAGAACTCGCGCCAGACGTTGTGATAACCCACAACCACAGAATGGCGGAGACGACTGCGAGGGTTCAGAAACAGAGGTCGGGCTCTGCAATACAGGAGAATGTCCAGGTACCATAATCATGCACTTCATATCCTTGCCTCGATTATTTACAGTCGGCTCCCATAGAACTGATGGCTTGCATTTCGGCAATTTATCCTCCTCAAAGATCTGAAAATTGTCAGCAATAAAATAAAATGGTGCGTAAAGATAAAATCACCACAAAATGCTTTCACATTTCTAAGGAATCAGTGTCCATATTGTTATCGTATTCCAAAGCTAATATGTGATTATTTCACTGAGTCATCTGCTGATTCTGAAAGACGTCCCTAACCAGTTTATCGGTATCCCTCGTTTTGTTTTGTCATCGCGGGGCGGTGGGGTAGCCTAGTGGTTAAAGCGTTCGCTCGTCACGCCGAAGGCCCGTGTTCGATTGCCCACATGGGTACAATTTGTGAAGCCCATTGATGGTGTACCCGCCGTGATATTGCTAGAATATTGCTGAAAATGGCGTAAAACCATACTCAGTCTGCCAGTGTTTTGTCATCTACAGTCTGTGCAGAAGTAAGTGCCCCTGATCACGGTGATCTGGAATGCAGGGATGTCAACAGTACAAGACTGTGTGAGCTGAAATGTGACGACGGCTATGACTTCGACCGACCTCCGTTGTCTGTCTATAAGTGTGGGCAGGAGACGGGATACGAATGGAGTTATGTTACTGAGGACAACCCAGATGGACGATTCCCCAACTGTGTCGGTAGGTTTGGTGGCTGACATGAGTAAGTGTTTGTTTATTTTTCCTTATCCTGACTCATACGTTGTAACTTATCTCCCTTTTCTTTCCGAATCCAAGTGGAAACCTCTGTCCTATTGTTCCTTAATGAACAGTAAAAAATAGCTCACCCCAGTCGGGCCTCTCCCAGGCTGAGCGCCAACTACCCACGTGACCGCTAGCTGCTTGTCATTCTCTGCTTTTCGCCCTCCCAACATCGATCTTCGCAATTGTGATGCGATGACATGTGTCAACCAAGTCAGCCAGCGTGACCACCCGATCCCGTTGGTCGCCTAACAAGCCTGGTTTTTTTAAGACCAATTTTAACCCGGATCTTCGCAGGTTTTTTAGTTTGATGGGTTTGCGCAGCCTTTAACAAATGTGCAACAGTGGCACACATCTTGTTTTCTTTTTCGTTGTTACTGTAAGCGGCGATGTTTGGATATCAGAAGAATATAATCTTTTTTTAATCAGAACGTAAGAGCCATTGTTTTAACCTCTACACAAGTTCAAAACATCCGGCATACCCAGGGAACAACTTGTCGTGTGTAAAACGTGATGTTATTCCAAAGAGTAGAAAATACTTTGTATTGTTATGAAGCTGGTATATTGCTTAATAGTTCCTACCCAACCAACAAGCGAAAACACAGCTATGACAAGGAGAATGAGGACTATTTTTATGGATCTACAACTTCTTTATTCTATATAGGTTACGTCAGGCAACGACATTAGAATCTATGTCGAAACGTCGCCTATATAAAATAAAGAAGTTGTATATCCATAAAAATAGTCCTCATTCTTCATCTTCCCAACTTGTAGAATGCCAATCAAAGAAGACATCTATGACAGTTAAGTGTATATTTTCAGCAATAGAGAATGCTGATGAATTAGAGGTAGAATTCCAGGAGGAGTATGAAGACCTGGAGTGCGTAGATGACAACGAGGCTGACCGGAAGTCTAAGGTTTTACTGCGCGCCAGAGAAGAAACCAACTTGTTGCCTTGCATCAACGATAACACGTGTTATATCAAAGACATACGTGTACCTGATTGTGATGCTCAACGACGGCGGAAGAGGGATATCACTTTCATGGGATTTATCATAACCCTTGGTGCTCATCCGTCTGAAAGTAAGTGCGTAATTTGATTAAATGTTACGTCACCCAAGAGAGTGATTTGGGTGTAGGACTGCTTTGGGCAGAGTTTCAGTTATAGCGTGGCGTGTCACACTGGTGGGTTAGGAACGCCCGAAATGACGAATATTTGAGGCGTTAACCACTTCATTGATAACGACAAGTATGATGCTGACAAACATAGTGAAGTAACCACGTTGAATCTGGGCATGCCTGTGAATTGTGGCGCCCCAGAAGACTGTTCATTATCCATCGTCCCCCATGCAGAGTAAAACAATTTATATATAGTACAATAAACTACGGTTATAACGAACTCAAAGAGACCTCTAATTTTAGTTCGTTTTCGCATTTTAACTACAGTGTTCAATAAGTGGCCGGAACACAGAAAATCTGTTCGATATAAGTGTGTTTGCTATAACCATAGCTGACTGTAACATGTCGAGATCTCTGTACACGACAGATGGCCTACAAACGTCAGTCGAGGGACTTCACACGGCCGTGAATCAACTGAACTTCTCCGCGTCAGCTGGGAACTTTACAGTGAAGCTGGATGGCATGAACTATTTTCTGACAGGATCCCCGACTATTGTCGGCAGCGCCACCATGCCGTGCTGGATGGACCAGAGTTGAATTCTACTGCAGTAAGTGCAATTTGGTTGCGTTTGCATCGCGTCTTTGCTGTTCCAACCTGAAAGGTCAGCTAAGTATTTCTTTGTTCACTGTTTGCGTCCATGAACACAACATTTTCTTCTCCGATTTGGCTAGATAACTCCTGCTAAAATCCTTTCTTGCGTCTTAAGATTGCCTTTTCAGTATGTCCGCCAGGTCCCTATCTTTGATCTACTGTGGAATAAATGTGAACACAATGAAAATGCAATATTCTGAAAATGCATCTATATGCTGCAAGCAATATTTATGTACCTCTTACTGTGGGTATTTTAGACTATTGGCCGCTTATTCAGATAACCGAATTTGATTTATTCAGTAATATTTTAAATGGAAATGTGATTAATAAAATGTGATATTTAAAACTATTGGCCGCTTATTCAGATAACCGAATTTGATTTATTCAGAAATATTTTAAATGGAAATGTGATTAATAAAATGTGATATTTAAAACTATTGGCCGCTTATTCAGATAACCGAATTTAATTTATTCAGAAATATTTTAAATGGAAATGTGATTAATAAAATGTGATATTAAAAACTATTGGCCGCTTACTCAGATAACCGAATTTGATTTATTCAGAAATATTTTAAATGGAAATGTGCTTAATAAAATGTGATATTTAAAACTATTGGCCGCTTATTCAGATAACCGAATTTGATTTATTCAGAAATATTTTAAATGCAAATGTGCTTAATAAAATGTGATATTTAAAACTATTGGCCGTTTACTCAGATAACCGAATTTGATTTATTCAGAAATATTTTAAATGGAAATGTGATTAATAAAATGTGATATTTAAAACTATTGGCCGCTTATTCAGATAACCGAATTTAATTTATTCAGAAATATTTTAAATGGAAATGTGCTTAATAAAATGTGATATTAAAACTATTGGCGCTTACTCAGATAACCGAATTTGATTTATTCAGAAATATTTTTAATGGAAATGTGATTAATAAAATGTGATATTTAAAACTATTGGCCGCTAATTCAGATAACCGAATTTGATTTATTCAGAAATCTTTTAAATGGAAATGTGATTAATAAAATGTGATATTTAAAACTATTGGCCGCGTACTCAGATAACCGAATTTGATTTATTCAGAAATATTTTAAATGGAAATGTGATTAATAAAATGTGATATTTAAAACTATTGGCCGCTTATTCAGATAGCCGAATTTAATTTATTCAGAAATATTTTAAATGGAAATGTGCTTAATAAAATGTGATATTTAAAACTATTGGCCGCTTATTCAGATAACCGAATTTGATTTATTCAGTAATATCTTAAATGGAAATGTGATTAATAAAATGTGATATTTAAAACTATTGGCCGCTTATTCAGATAACCGAATTTGATTTATTCAGAAATATTTTAAATGGAAATGTGCTTAATAAAATGTGATATTTAAAACTATTGGCCGCTTATTCAGATAACCGAATTTGATTTATTCAGAAATCTTTTAAATGGAAATGTGCTTAATAAAATGTGATATTAAAAACTATTGGCCGCTTATTCAGATAACCGAATTTGATTTATTCAGAAATATTTTAAATGGAAATGTGCTTAATAAAATGTGATATTTAAAACTATTGGGCGCTTATTCAGATAACCTAATTTGATTTATTCAGAAATATTTTAAATGCAAATGTGCTTAATAAAATGTGATATTTAAAACTATTGGCCGTTTATTCAGATAACCGAATTTGATTTATTCAGAAATATTTTTAATGGAAATGTGATTAATAAAATGTGATATTTAAAACTATTGGCCGCTTATTCAGATAACCGAATTTAATTTATTCAGAAATATTTAAATGGAAATGTGATTAATAAAATGTGATATTTAAAACTATTGGCCGCTTATTCAGATAACCGAATTTGATTTATTCAGAAATATTTTAAATGGAAATGTGATTAATAAAATGTGATATTAAAAACTATTGGCCACTTACTCAGATAACCGAATTTGATTTATTCACAAATATTTTAAATGGAAATGTGCTTAATAAAATGTGATATTTAAAACTATTGGCCGCTTATTCAGATAACCGAATTTGATTTATTCAGAAATATTTTAAATGCAAATGTGCTTAATAAAATGTGATATTTAAAACTATTGGTCGTTTACTCAGATAACCGAATTTGATTTATTCAGAAATATTTTAAATGGAAATGTGATTAATAAAATGTGATATTTAAAACTATTGGCCGCTTATTCAGATAACCGAATTTAATTTATTCAGAAATATTTTAAATGGAAATGTGCTTAATAAAATGTGATATTAAAAACTATTGGCCGCTTACTCAGATAACCGAATTTGATTTATTCAGAAATATTTTTAATGGAAATGTGATTAATAAAATGTGATATTTAAAACTATTGGCCGCTTATTCAGATAACCGAATTTGATTTATTCAGAAATATTTTTAATGGAAATGTGATTAATAAAATGTGATATTTAAAACTATTGGCCGCTAATTCAGATAACCGAATTTGATTTATTCAGAAATCTTTTAAATGGAAATGTGATTAATAAAATGTGATATTTAAAACTATTGGCCGCGTACTCAGATAACCGAATTTGATTTATTCAGAAATATTTTAAATGGAAATGTGATTAATAAAATGTGATATTTAAAACTATTGGCCGCTTATTCAGATAACCGAATTTAATTTATTCAGAAATCTTTTAAATGGAAATGTGCTTAATAAAATGTGATATTAAAAACTATTGGCCGCTTACTCAGATAACCGAATTTGATTTATTCAGAAATATTTTTAATGGAAATGTGATTAATAAAATGTGATATTTAAAACTATTGGCCGCTAATTCAGATAACCGAATTTGATTTATTCAGAAATCTTTTAAATGGAAATGTGATTAATAAAATGTGATATTTAAAACTATTGGCCGCGTACTCACATAACCGAATTTGATTTATTCAGAAATATTTTAAATGGAAATGTGCTTAATAAAATGTGATATTTAAAACTATTGGCCGCTTATTCAGATAACCGAATTTGATTTATTCAGAAATATTTTAAATGGAAATGTGCTTGATAAAATGTGAGATTAAAACTATTGGCCGCTTATTCAGATAACCGAATTTGATTTATTCAGAAATCTTTTAAATGGAAATGTGATTAATAAAATGTGATATTTAAAACTATTTGCAGCTTACTCAGATAACCGAATTTGATTTATTCAGAAATATTTTTAATGGAAATGTGCTTAATAAAATGTGATATTTAAAACTATTGGCCGCTTATTCAGATAACCGAATTTGATTTATTCAGAAATATTTTAAATGCAAATGTGATTAATAAAATGTGATATTTAAAACTATTGGCCGTGTACTCACATAACCGAATTTGATTTATTCAGAAATATTTTAAATGGAAATGTGCTTAATAAAATGTGATATTTAAAACTATTGGCCGCTTACTCAGATAACCGAATTTGATTTATTCAGAAATATTTTTAATGGAAATGTGATTAATAAAATGTGATATTTAAAACTATTGGCCGCTTATTCAGATAACCGAATTTGATTTATTCAGAAATATTTTTAATGGAAATGTGATTAATAAAATGTGATATTTAAAACTATTGGCCGCTAATTCAGATAACCGAATTTGATTTATTCAGAAATATTTTAAATGGAAATGTGATTAATAAAATGTGATATTTAAAACTATTGGCCGCTTATTCAGATAACCGAATTTGATTTATTCAGAAATATTTTTAATGGAAATGTGATTAATAAAATGTGATATTTAAAACTATTGGCCTCTATTTCAGATAACCGAATTTGATTTATTCAGAAATCTTTTAAATGGAAATGTGCTTAATAAAATGTGATATTTAAAACTATTGGCTGCGTACTCACATAACCGAATTTGATTTATTCAGAAATATTTTAAATGCAAATGTGCTTAATAAAATGTGATATTTAAAACTATTGGATATTAAAACTATTGGCCGCTTATTCAGATAACCGAATTTGATTTATTCAGAAATATTTTAAATGGAAATGTGCTTAATAAAATGTGAGATTAAAAACTATTGGCCGCTTATTCAGATAACCGAATTTGATTTATTCAGAAATCTTTTAAATGGAAATGTGATTAATAAAATGTGATATTTAAAACTATTTGCCGCGTACTCAGATAACCGAATTTGATTTATTCAGAAATATTTTTAATGGAAATGTGCTTAATAAAATGTGATATTTAAAACTATTGGCCGCTTATTCAGATAACCGAATTTGATTTATTCAGAAATATTTTTAATGGAAATGTGATTAATAAAATGTGATATTTAAAACTATTGGCCTCTAATTCAGATAACCGAATTTGATTTATTCAGAAATCTTTTAAATGGAAATGTGATTAATAAAATGTGATATTTAAAACTATTGGCTGCGTACTCACATAACCGAATTTGATTTATTCAGAAATATTTTAAATGGAAATGTGCTTAATAAAATGTGATATTTAAAACTATTGGCCGCTTATTCAGATAACCGAATTTGATTTATTCAGAAATATTTTAAATGGAAATGTGCTTAATGAAATGTGAGATAAAAACTATTGGCCCGCTTATTCAGATAACCGAATTTGATTTATTCAGAAATCTTTTAAATGGAAATGTGATTAATAAAATGTGATATTTAAAACTATTTGCCGCGTACTCAGATAACCGAATTTGATTTATTCAGAAATATTTTAAATGGAAATGTGCTTAATAAAATGTGATATTTAAAACTATTGGCGCTTATTCAGATAACCGAATTTGATTTATTCAGAAATATTTTAAATGCAAATGTGATTAATAAAATGTGATATTTAAAACTATTGGCCGTTTACTCAGATAACCGAATTTGATTTATTCAGAAATATTTTAAATGGAAATGTGATTAATAAAATGTGATATTAAGAACTATTGGCCGCTTACTCAGATAA